TGTGCCCCCCACTGACACCCGGGTGTGCCCAGTGCCCCTCAGTGACACCCGTGTGCCCTGTGTGCCCCCCAGTGACACCCGGGTGTGCCCAGTGCCCCTCAGTGACACCCGTGTGACCTGTGCCTGTCAGTGACACCCGTGCGACCTGTGTGCCCCCCGGTGACACCCGGGTGTGCCCCATGACCGTCACTGACACCCGTGTGACCTGTGCCCGTCAGTGACACCCGTGCGACCTGTGTGCCCCCCACTGACAACCGGGTGTGTCCAGTGCCCCTCAGTGACACCCGAGTGACCTGTGCCCGTCAGTGACACCCGGGTGTGCCCCATGACCGTCACTGACACCCGTGTGTGCCCCATGACCGTCAGTGACACCCGTGCGACCTGTGTGCCCCCCACTGACAACTGGGTGTGTCCAGTGCCCCTCAGTGACACCCGAGTGACCTGTGCCCGTCAGTGACACCCGGGTGTGCCCCATGACCGTCACTGACACCCGTGTGACCTGTGCCCGTCAGTGATACCCGTGCGACCTGTGTGCCCCCCACTGACACCCGGCTGTGTCCAGTGCCCCTCAGTGACACCCGTGTGCCCTGTGTGCCCCCCAGTGACACCCGGGTGTGCCCAGTGCCCCTCAGTGACACCTGTGTGACCTGTGTGCCCCCCAGTGACACCCGGGTGACCTGTGCCCGTCACTGACACCCGTGTGACCTGTGTGCCCCCCAGTGACACCCGGGTGTGCCCCATGACCGTCAGTGACACCTGTGTGACCTGTGTGCCCCCCACTGACACCCGGGTGTGTCCAGTGCCCCTCAGTGACACCCGTGTGACCTGTGCCCGTCAGTGACACCCGTGTGCCCTGTGTGCCCCCCAGTGACACCCGGGTGTGTCCAGTGCCCCTCAGTGACACCCGAGTGACCTGTGCCCGTCAGTGACACCCGTGTGCCCTGTGTGCCCCCCAGTGACACCCGGGTGTGCCCCATGACCGTCAGTGACACCCGTGTGACCTGTGTGCCCCCCAGTGACACCCAGGTGTGCCCAGTGCCCCTCAGTGACACC